TAGCATATTTTTTTATAAAATCAATAATATTATGYTGTTAAATTGCTTCGTTTTGCTTGGAAATGTGAAGGGGTAAAAGGAAGTAAATAAGCTTTTAGCTTTATTCTTTGCATGTAATGATAATTCCATGATATTACTCATTAAATTATGATGCACACACAGTTAAAATATGTTTTCAGCATACAAAGACAGAATTTTAACCTGMATTTAAACTGCCTAGGAATCAGTAGAAAATATAAGGGTCTTATGTGTACAAAATTATGGATCTGATTAAAAAATTCTAAGAAATGTTTTGAGCATTGAGAACAAAACATTGTATTCAGTACCAGTGAAAGCCTGCTAGTAGATGTTCCTTATTTTGAGTATGTGAGTAGCTTTCCAGAAATTTTTGGTACTCCACACATTACATAGGTTATATATGTTATATATATATTATATATATATTATATATATATTATATATATATTATATATATAATATAAATATTAGATAAATATATATAAGTATATATATGTAATAGACATATATATAACAGAGGAATATGACTTAGGGAACTATATAGATAACCACTGAAATTAGGATTTACTTCTAGCACTGATAATAGAATCAGGTTCATATGAACACACCATCAGTTAGCATTATAATGTTTAGTTGATCCCACTTGCTGTTAAACCTGAGCTCTTAGGAGTTCTGGTCATTTTAAAACCCCATGTCTTAGAGACAAGATCTGGTACCTGCTGAATCATTTGAGGATTTCATCATTTCTGATAAGGAAAATACCTGTTTTAGCTATTAACTACTTTCAGATACTTTTTTTCTATTCAGATACATTCTGCTGTGAGGTCATTATGAARGAWGCTGTAGAAATGTTTGCTTTGAACRTGTTTGTTTTTAGAAAAAGAGTGGAGTATGCAAACTGTAGTGTTACTGATTGTGCTGTTCAATGAAATGAATGAAGAAACGTTTCTTCCAGTAAAAGATTACTGCTTCCTATCACMTATTTTTATGCCATAGAGTGCTACCACATGAAAGTACAGCAACATGTCAAAACTGAGCTGAAATGGAGATAACCCACATCTGTTGCTTTCTGATTAATTTGAATTTTTGCTCTTTATTTGCTATTATTCTTTGCTTCTGCAATCTGTTTTCCTACCATGTTTCTTTTGTCTCTTTTTCCCCCTTCTTCTTGAGGTTAATTCTCCTTTACCCAATTCTCTTATTCTTGCTGTTTGAGTTTGGATGGCAGTTGGAATGGGTTTTCATAGGTATCGAGCAAAGAAATGTTTCAACTGCAAGGAGGTATTTATGAGGTTCAGGCTTTGTCTTTTTTTCTTAAATGTCCATGTGGCAAAAGATCACTTTTGAAACATCTTGTCTTTGAAATCTGCTGTGGATTTCAGTCAGCCTGTGCAGAACCAGTACGTGATGTGAATTTTTGCAGGGCCCCTGGGTTTGAAGTGCCCAGCAATGCCAAACGTAGTTCCACTGCACTGCAGGCTAAGAGCTTCCAGTGCCAAGCCAACCCTGCTCTGCTCCTTGATGGTGCAGAGTCCTGAGAACTCAAGTGAAGAACAGTTTCCAGATTTTCTCTGCTGWGCAGAGAAATGTCAGCCATAACCAAAGCTGTCAACATCTCACATTTGTAATCCTAGTTTTTGAAAAAAGTATTTGGTTTGGACTTTGTGGCATTTTCCCAAAAAATAAAAGTTTTAGGGTTTAGTTAGTTTCATGCTTAACTCACCTTGGAGTTCTGAAGGAAAACACAGTTATATTTCATAAAGACATATTCTACCTGCCTGTGGATGTTTCCATGTTTTATAATATGGTACTTCTGTATCCTGTTTCTGCCGTTTATGGAGTTATAGTACCGTGGAACACAGACTCTGTAGTGTTTTCACTATTGCWGTGTCAAAATAAAGCTAGAAGCGGAGCTGTTTTTTTCAGAAATTCAGAGACATAAATTATTGCCTTTGCTAAAAAGGCAAAATATAACTGTCAAGAATATAACARTAAGTATAAAATTGAAGCAGTGAAAAAAATACTAATAATTACAGAAAGTTCTGAAAAAAAATGCTTATTCCTCTTACAGGAAAAGAAATGTCATCCTACTATTCCATGCATTGCTCTATTTTTTCATTATCCTAGAAAGAGCCTACACTGAAGTAATTTTAGTACGTGTCTCTGAATGGATCATTAATTTGGATGGAGAATTCTTCACCTGAATTAAATCAGCTGAAGAATTAATTTYCCCTCTATCTAAGTTAGGTTTTCTGGTATATATGTGATATTTTTCAATGAAGTACAGGTTTTCCTCTCTGCTTCCCAGAGAGTTGAAAGATTGCAAATATCTTTTTGTTTATTTGGTTGAGGATCTAACCACCATCCTTTCATAATTTTACTGTTTACTAGTATGAAAAGTTCCATTTTTGTTCACTAAATAACATTTCAGACATTTCTGTGCCTCCTTATTCCAGAGATAAWTTTTTTAATGCTGAGATTTTCTTTTTAATTCTTTATTAAAAAAATGCATTTTCCCAAAAGGAGATTTTATTATGTACTTTCTTTATCCATAGAATTGATTACTGTAAAACTTGCAAACTGTGTTATTACAAGAAACTAAACCAATTTTGGTCAGTTTTGCTTACACACTACTGTTTAGCTAGATGTTACTTCATTACAATACTTACATTAATTTCTGATTTAGCTCTAGCATTTTTAATTATTGATTAGGATATATTTGTTCTGTAAGTAGAGGAAGCAAAATTGAATTTTTGAATTTTAACTTTCCATAACTTTCTTTCCAAATTTCCCAAATCCTTACTTTCACTTTTCTCAGATTCTTTAGTTATGCAAAAAGAATTGTACTGAGTGTCTCTACAATGCCCCTATTTACAGTGGGATGGCTGACACATACTGGTATATTCAAAGGGAATTTTAAAAATCAYGCAATTTTTGCTGCAGCTTCTGCTGAAGGAGGCTACTGTGTAAATGATTGGTTATCTATTTATTTATGTATATTTAAACCTTATTAGTTGGTCTGCTAATCTGCCCTAAAAACCTGCCCTGTTAAATTTTGAAAATTTTTTTGGCCTAGACAGAGTGTTCTCTTAAGGAGAAAAAAAACCTCTGGTGAATACTTTTGAAAGTTCCATTCAACATATGTTCAAAAGCATTATTTAGAAAGTGTTTGTGGACTTATTTTCTTACCTTTCTTCAGTCTTATTACATTGCTGTCCTGCGGAGCACTRCCCTGGAGAAAAGTGATTGTTGCTAGTAACATTCCCAGTCTTTTCAGTACAATGTGAGCTGAAATATAAAACAGCTTACAGAAGTCAGTATCCAATACCTGAAGAGAAATTATTTATCCAACAGAGGATTTTGAAGTAGGGCTCATGAGATTGTTTTACAGACAAGTGAGCCATTTTGATAATTTTTCCAGTTTGGGTTAAAGAAAAAGCATGGTATCTGGCAATAATATTTAAATTACATAATAAGATTAATAACCTGAAAAACTTGATTAGCTTATATAGGTATTTCCACCTATACAAAAAAAAAAAATCTGAAAAAAATAGTTTTGCAAGGAGGTATCTCATTTTAAACAGAATCTCATTCGATATAATTTTCTTTTAGCCAGATATTTGCTCCTATTTAAAAAAAAAAAAAATCTCTCATTAGCAATGTGGGTCTAAATTATACCTTTAAATCTTATTGGCCAGAAAAGGAGATTTTACAGCAATTGTGCATAATTTTCAAACTCCTGTAAATTGATTTTTCAGTCTGGCAGTAATGGATTTTGGCCTGATATTTGCATTATCCACAAAGCATGTATTACTGTGGCCCATTTATTTAAATGAAGGTTGTGTTTAAAAGATATTGTTCTGCTGGAGACTAAATGGAATGCATTTTATTAATCTGACACACTTCTTTATTCTCTATTGGCTATATTTACGCATTCAGCAGAGGTTACTGGTTCATAAAGAATAAGAACCCTCGAAACACCAAGTACCTGCTGGGATCACCTCTCTTTCTGACAAAGGACTGGTAAAACATAAGTCAGGATGKAAAATTGGTAGAGCTACAGAAAAAGATTTTGATAATTATTTTCATCAATCATTTGATCAAATTATGAAGAAAATATCACGTCTTCCCATATTAAATTTTCTTTGACCCTAATAATTCTAGGAAATTTAAAACAAACAAACAAACAAGCCCAAACCAAAATAACCAGCAAATCTCTATATTAATAGGGTTTTGATGAGATTATGCCAAGCACCACAAAATCAAGACATGCCCAAATGGAATTCACTCTTGAACTACGGAACATTACCTTGCATGCTCACTAAAACATACATTTTAAAGGAATCAAATTCTTTATTTCCTCCATGAAGTTGGAGTTCTGTGATTCATAGAACAAGACTAACAGGCTGGTGCTCAGTAGGATTTTTGTCCTTCTTCAGTGTATACTTTCCTTTGCTGTTTATTGTCTTCTGTTCAGCTCAGGAGAACTGTTCACTTCTTTATACCACTCAAATATTTAAGTACTTCACAGACACTATTTTATGTCTCTTACAAACTCATCTATGAAGAGTGCCATTATCATCATTTAGCACATCAATAGCTGCAATACAAAAAATTTAAGGTGAAAACAACTGTTAATATACATTATAATTTTGTGAGTCCACCAAAGAAAGGATCCTTAAATCTACCACCACTTGGGTCTGCTATGCACAGTGCAAAATAATKATTCTTCTCAGATATATTTTTTTGAATAAATAGTATGAGAGTATGTAATTGGATATTCCTATAACTATAAGCAAAAGAATAACTTAAATTTTATCTCTTTCAATGTTTTGGTGACTATAGTTTGCAATAGTAGTCTTTATTCTTTGTGTTTATGTTCCACCATTGGTATTTGTCATAGGATTTTATATGTATTTATTCAGATGCCTACTGTGTAGATACTAGAACAGATTTTTTATTTCTTTCCTTCTTTCTCTAAGGCATTTCCTGGAAATACAAACTCTGACAGCGTGGTCCGGCATGATTTACAGCACCCAGTTATTGCTCGCTATGTAAGGATAGTTCCTTTGGACTGGAATGGAGAGGGACAAATYGGGTTAAGAATTGAAGTCTACGGCTGCTCCTACTGTAAGTTTTTCCATGATGTTCTTCTTTTTTCCCCACTAACTAAAAACTCATTTTGAATTTCAGATTAAAACCAAATTTTAAAGAGTTTAACCTTTGCTTCAGGATTGCTAGTTGAGYTTCCAAAGGCTTAATGAATTATTTGTTGGAAGTTTAATCCTGAGGTGATAGTTCATTCTTCTCTGAAAGATGCAACATTGGAATTTATGATAGTGTTTTGTGGTTGTTCCTTTTCATCTTCATGGTTTCTGTTGTAGAAAGCTGTGGTTATCATATAAGCTTGATTGGAATATTTGAGAAAAAAAGATCATGTTCAAACAAATGTCATGCTGGGTCTTGAGGGATAAAACAGAAACAGGATAAAATTTATTGCCCGGTACTAGAGATAAAATTAAAACAATAAACAAGAATTCTAACAGAATGACTCAAATTGCCTAAATACGGGACATATTTTTTGAGATATTTCCTTGAGTATTTGAATGTGGCTTCAGAATTTCTTTTGAAATTCAAGTGAACAATGTACAAATGCTTCTGTAGGTAAGGGCAGAGCTGATAATGCTTCMAAAAAAGCAAGGTTAGTTTCTAATGCCCTTCCTTCAATTCAGTCCAGCCAGTGCTTTAAGTCTGCAAATCTGCAAAACTAAGTTTATGGTATCCTATATCTGCATGTTTTTAGGCAGTGTCATGGATTTGCTGGTATTTTAACTGGAAGATATTATTTGAAATTTGTCTTTTAATAACTAGGCTTTAGAATAAAGTGAGGAAKTCTCATGATTGACTTGATTGGGTCATATAAGACATATTGGAGCCCTTTGCCATTCTACCTAGAAATAAATAAAAAGAAAAACTGTGATTTCAGCTGTTGGTTTGATTAGATAGTCAAAAGACTACATTTTTCAACACCAATAGAACCATGAAAAACAGAGTTTTGGTATTATTTTTTCCTACTTCCATACATTGAATCACAGAGAATTTCCCAACAGCTGCAGGGACTTAGTAGAGAAATCAAATCAAACTTGCTGTGGTGTCGGTGCTGCTGTGCTAGGGCACATGTGGATATTTGATATATTTGCAAAAAGACAARCGCAGAACCTGTTGCAATAAAACAAAGGGTATGAGAAGTAAGAAAGGTAACGAGAAGTTAATTTAGATTAGATATCATAAAGATAGTTTTTACAAAGAGAATGGTAAAACACTGGAACAATTCACCCAGAGGTGGTGGRTGCTCCATCCCTGTAAACATTCAAGGTCAGGTTGGATGGGGCTGTGAGCAACCCAGTCCAGTTGAAGATGTCTCTGAACATTTCAGAGGAATTGGACTAGATRGCCTCTAAAGTCCATTCTAATCCAAACTGTTCCAGATGCTGTGATATCTGTTACTTGAGGAACTGGGGGCTACTCTAAACTTAATTCTAACTCAAAGAGAAACTGAGCTTCTGAAATTTTAGGGACAACTCTGGTTATTCAGCACATGGCTTTTAATAAACAAGTGTTTACCATCATACTCCTAAAATGTTTCACACGTTGTTTTAAGTACACCAGACATTACAGCATGGCTGATTTTCCAGCATAATACTTGCTTTTAAGTATATCTCCATGCTTGTACATCGAATGCAAATTCAGGAGGTTGATGCAAGAAACCAACATCATACTGTCAAATATAACTCTCTCCATAGCTGAAGAAAATAGCAGAATCAAACRATAAACCCCACCATATTTGCTGCAATATTTACACATAAAAATGRTACATTCTGATGAAATGAACACTCAAGACACTGTAGGTACACAACAGGATACTTTTAGAGGCTTAAAGTAAATGTGAGAAAAAGTGAAACACAGCTTGCTGACAAAATTATTTTAGTTGTTTGATAAAAAGTTGTTTGCTCGCTGAACTTTTGAAKAAGAATAAAAAACATCTGCCAAGAACACAATGTATGGAACCATAAAAATACTGATAAAATATGTCTTCACAGAAGAACCAAGATAATATAATTTTATTATTTAACTGAGAGAGTATCGTCAGTCTGTTTGTATTAGAAGTGATTTAAATAACAAATGTGGGTTTTTTTTTAAAATATAATATTAAAAATACTGTATTCTGGTTTTATGTGTGTAAGGAGTCTTCTTTCAACAGGTCTCTTACAATGGAGTGTGGTTTTTACATGCAGGAATTGGRCTGCTGCCAAAATGGTATCAGCAGAGAGCAGCAGACCTGTTGAGAAGAAAAATTTAAAAAACACTATGTCAAAAGAGAGGAGGGCAGCCCTTTGGTATGAATACTGTAACCAGGGAGTACTGTTTACAAATTCACAGCTTGTCTTCAAATGAATTATTTGGAGCCAGATGTAAATGCTGCACCTTTCTATGTAGATGTGTCCTTTGGCAGAGGCCAAGTTTTTAACCTTATGATTAGAAGTGCATATATTTGCATATAAATATAAGCACTGCCATTAACCAGTGTGATTTGCAGATTAATCCTGCTGTCATTTAWGTAACTACCCATTTAGATTATCACCATTTTTAAAAGGCTGATTACAAGAAAGGCTCCTAGTTAAATCTTCCCCAATTTTTGGAATTACTACCTAAATGAAAAGGCTGCCCAAYGTATCACAATTTTTTCTTTTAGTTAATAGACTAATATTTTTTTTTTTTTTTAATTTAGGTATTTTCAGATAGAAAAATCCAATATTTTCTCACATTGCATGCAAGGTTTAAATGGGAAGCTCTGCATAGTGACTATAAAAACTCTTTCTTTACATGTTGCTTCAACCCAGTCATTAGCCTCAGACCTCTAAAAATAATGCATCCTCATATTGAATTGCTTATTCAAAGATCAGGTCACTAATTGCCATATTTCTGGTTCCTGTTTTGCCTGGATATTTATGTAAGAGACATATTTAAATTTTTGTACAARGGGTGCAATCCATGTCCTTCCTTGCCCAACAAATCAAGTTTAAAAAGAGATGTGTTTTTGAGGGAGCAAATAGAGCTCAATTCTATTCCCTGGAGAAGTTMATGACATTACCAAATACTCTTCTTTTAGTTTTGTTTTGCTCAAAGTTTAAAATCTGTTCTGTTRTTGAAATTTCATCTCTGTATTTTGTGTAGATAAGATCTGTGGGGTTGTCTTCTGACAGAAGAGTCCATAGAAGTCATCAAACAAGAATTAAGGCCTTACTCTACAAGATTCAGAATGAAAACTATTTTTTTTCTTTTTCTATAGTAGAAATCTGACTATATCTTYTTTTTTTTAATTACTAAAATTGGTAAAAGAACTTGCCTAATGGCTGTATTAATGGAAAAACTGCATGAGCAAAATAAGCTTGAAAGTTCACAACAAATAGAATATAATATAACATAAACAACACTTAGTCAATGGGACTTTTAGATTTATTTAAAAATTATGTATTTCATTAACCATAAAGGGGAAAAGGATCTTTASACTTGACATGACATCATATATCAAAAAGCAAGTCACAAAGAAAACAAGATAAACGAAGTCAAAATATCCATTGAACTTAGCCAAATGAAAACTGAATTATCTGAAATGAAAAAATGGCTGAATTTCATTTGTGCTCTTTTGGTGATATAGACCAATGGCCCATGACATGGATCTTCCACCATGTTCACTTTTATGGATTTTTGAGATTTGCGGCAAAGACATGCATCTGGAGTCCATGAAAACCACAATATAGGACATTTTACTGCTGACTTGTGAAGATCATGATAAGCTCCTGCTGAATCATTGCCATGGGAGTTCTTCCCTTAATCTATATCCAGTGGCAGATGGATGCCTAAAAAAAGGCAACAGAAATATTATTGCATAGACTTTGGCCATTCTTTTGAAGACAACTGTAGGAGACTTTCTGGGTCATGAAATCCTGACTGGAAAACACTCATGTTACTTTTATTCACAGAGGAGTTTTTGTATAACTGTGCTGATTTTCTTAACAGTACATCTGTATCTTTTTGATGCAATTGCACATCTGATGGTAAGAATTTCCAAATTCCAGATTCACTTCTGAATGGTAGGGTACACTTGAAAAAAACAAACAWCATTTAGAGATGACAGAAAGCGATGCAAGCACTCAATATACTCAGGGCAAATAGGTAACAGGAACAATTTTAAAGCTCCATGAATGGCTGCAAGCTGAGCTGTTTACAGTCACTGACCAGCAATATTTGCTAATACTTAGGAAGCAGTGGGACTGAACAAATGTCACATGACCTTTATTTGCAAACCTGTTCTTTTTCAGATATTAACTCTACTACATGTACTGAGCTATGTCAAATGTTACTGTTTCAGCTTTCTAATYTTTTKTKTKTKTKTKTKTKTKTTTTTGAGGAGGGAAAAGAAGGAAAAATAGTAACCACAGTCCTGTGGTTATTCATGAAATGATGAATATTTTTATGGTGAGCATTTACTCTACAAATAGTAAAGTGAACAAAACTTTGGTCACAGAATCATATTACAAGAACTAAAACAAGATTTGGAAATTCTCTTAAGGGGTGAGCTAAATGAATATTTGCAAGAACTGATTAGGAAATATTGAAGTGGTAAAAGCTGTGGGCTGAAGGGATCTTTTGGTTGTTGTTAATTTTATTTGCYTGCAGTGACTTTGAATTAAAACACTATTTCCTTTGACAGTTAATTCTGCATTCAGCTATACTTAGCTGCTAGGGAATTTATTCATTAGATAGAAATTGGTTAAGCTTGGTTTCATGCTACTGGCACTAACTATCCATGTCTCACTTGCTGTCTCACACATTGCTATACGCACTCAAAAGGGAAAATTCCACACTGACAAAAATAATCTGTTCCCTCCAAATGTCAAAATTACTGTTTAAAGGMAGATGAGAAGGCTGCTTTATTTCCCTTTTGTTGAATCGTATCAAGTTTCACTTGGCCARATTCAACATTATACACTGAACATTTTGCTTCAACAGCACATAACATAAAAAGTATGTTCCAAATTCCTGTGAAGTGTTATGATTCCTATTGA